GGCGGAGGGGGTGGATGACGAAGGAGCGGCTTGTATTGGCGAGGTATTTGAGGCATGTTTTTGCCGTGTCGGCTTCGCCTGCTGTGTCCCTGGGCGCTGGCTGGTGAAGAGTTTCCTGGAAGCAGAGAGTGAGTGAGAGACAATGTTTAGTGAGTGAGACGTCGGCTGCAGACCATTGGATTAGTACTTTCAGGTATTGGGGGTGACGGGCGAAATATACAGCTTTGTGCAAGGGGGACATGATGATGTTGATGAAAGGCAGAGTAGATGCCCCAAAGTGACAATTATCATCGGGCGAGACTTCTGCGATGGGATTTGATGTGGTATTTAGACAAAGCATCAATGGCTTATATATCCCCAGACCAAGCTCGCAGGAGAACACGATGCCATCCTCTGCGGACTGCAAACACCTCCTGTGAAGTTCTCTGTGAACCATGAGCCACGGCGGATGTTGAAGAATCGGGGGATTCGGATTATGTCTTCTCGTCCAAGTCCGTACCACATCATTGCAAGCAACTACCCGTCCCATCAGTATACTCTGTCGCAGAAAACTGTAATTTTCATCAATAAATGGCAAAAGGGGGTAGCAAACTTGCCAACCAGGCCGGCACCCACAACACCAGCTACCCGGTAAGCATTTGCAAGGTCCTCGCGGCTCAACAGACAACAACTCAACACAGCAGCACCTTTCACAACTCTGCGGAGACTCGCAAAGGATCTGACAAAACAAACGAGAGTCAAGCTCAATGACTAAATGACTATCCCATCCTATGCACAGCTCACATACAATGCATATTCCCCAAAAGCACAAAAAGCCGCCTTTTCCACTGGCCTCCTGTAAGCCAACGAAACAACGCCTTGCTCAAAACAAAAAAGTTATACATGTATATATGTAAGTATACCAAAACGGCCACTCCTCAGCCCGGTTTAGTCCGCCCTTGTGCCCAACTCAACTTCTTCCCACGCGGGGTTTTCCCATCGTTTGTACTTTCATCATCCCCAGTAATATCATTGCTCTCGTCTGGTACGTCGCTATTTCGCGCTTACGGCCCGTAAAGACACTGAGTCTGTCTCTTAGTGAGGGGGTACCGGCTCTGCGACGATCTCCCGATTCGGCGCTCCCTGCACTCGTGGAGGGCCGACCATCTCCTGCGCTGCATTGCGGAGCACCCGGCGGTGGTTGGAGTTACCAAAGCCGTGGCTGGAGGAGGGACGCATCAAGTCAATACCAGCTTCGTTACGCCCTTCGATTGGTGTCGGGGGAGTGGTCATGGAAAGGAAACTTGGTGCGCTGGGGCCATTATGTGATGAACCGCCGGTTCGGTAAGACCGACCGCTAGCCACGCTGCTACTACGGCTAGCAGATCGAGGCGCCGGTATGCTACTGTGTGTGCTGCCGGCGCGTGTAGACCGCGGCGGAGAGCGAGAGTAGTCGATTGGCGAAGTCCCATAGAAGCTGGACGAATCGTCGCTATCGTTGATGCTCGCAGCGTAATGCTGGGAAGAGCTTGAGGTCGTGATCACGACAGAGCTGCTTGCCATTTCTCGTAGCTTGCTGCGCTGCTCCGCGTTAGGTCGGTGCTTGGAGAACTTGTTCCCAATGATGGCACCTGTGTGCGAAATCAAGGCCTTTACCACGGCTTTTTTCAGAGCAAGCGCCAGATCCAGGTTGGACCACGTCTTGTTTTGCCACTCAATCGTTGGGAGTCGAAACACAAAGTCATGGACGTCTTCAAAGTTGCGTTGATCTTTGCCCTTGTAGCTCAGGCAGAGAACCACCGACGGCATCCGAATGTATGCAAACGTCATGTAGTTGTTCGCTCGGTTAATCATCTTAGTGAGGTCATCCGATTGCTGCTTGTCTTCGGTCTGCGACTTTCCGCCTCGCCAACGAGATCCCTTCTTAGTTTCGGTGGAGTCCTTGCTGTCCTTGGACGAGAACCCCGTGGAGGATCGTACCATCATGCCTGGTCGAGGCGCGCCGATTCCTCGGAGTGATTCGTGAGACGCCTTCTTGGATATCACCGTCTTTCCCGTGTTTCCAGAGCGGAACAGTCTGAACGCATGGCCGCCTCCCTCGGAGCTTTTGACGCTGAGAGCCTTTTTCGGGCTGCTCTCCTGGGCGTTGTTCGATGTCAGTGTCGGTCTCAGGCGCAGTTCCAGTGATCCCGCTCGCGTATTGAACCCAGAGGACTCCTTGTCCGCCGCTGGAATGCCCAGACGACTGGTTGAGCTGTTCGTAGACTCGACATCAACTTCGTCTGTGCTAGAAGCTTGATGCTTAACCATAAGAGGTGAGTCGTCCTTTGCCCCCTTGTCTTTATCCATGCCAGGGAAGATGTACTCAAACAAACGTTTACCCGCTTCTCGCTCTAGTTGCACCTTCATTGGCACAAGTTTAACCTCGAAGCGATCCATCACAGGAATGCCTGCTATTGCTTCGAGCATGTGCCAGTACACCCGAATCATGTCTTGCTCAGTGTCGCCTGTCATGGTGTTTCTGTCAGATTCACTGTACGGTGCAATAATCTCTGGATACGTGGCGTCAGGTAGTAGGTTAAGACCGAGGACTTTTCCGACCCGAATAAGATTCATGTGAGAGCCATCAGAGTTGTCGGTCCGATCGTACTCGACATCCTTGAGTTGCAGCTCAACAAGTGGCTCTGCAGAGTCTTGGATGAGATGCCACACAATGTCTCGCGCAGAAATACTCCACTTCAATAACGCACTGGTGTCGCTGTCGATTTCAAATTTGCGCTGAGACGTTGTAATAGCCTTCATCATGAAGAAAAGTTCATCTTCACAGCTTGCCAAGTCTCGTTCTAGGGCGAGTCTGTCTTCCCAGCCCTTCTTATCCAGGTATTTAGAGTAGACCTGGAAATGGTGCTTGATGTCCTCCAATTGTCTGATACGCTCCTGGAGTTTCTGCACCATCCGCGGTGTTCCACTCAAATCGCTGAAGTCAGATGCGAGCATTATCTTCTCAAGTCGCTCACTACGGGTCTTTTCCAGCGGCTCACTATACATCAGCAGGTCCAGCACGATGACGTACATGGCATAGTATTGAGAACTGTTGCAAAGTGCTCGTGCTTGTGGAAATTCAACCCAGAGATTGTCCGATCGGCATTCGGCAATTTCGCTCGAGGCAACATCCTCTCCACCATCTTCGTTGACCTCGTCATTGTACTTCAGACGCAAGTTGTTGTATTTGTCATAACGAAGCATGGCAGATGTCTTCTGAACAACACGTTTAAAGCCAAAAGGATCGGTCTGGAAATTGAACATTACCTCCATAGGAACCCATGGCGGCCAAGCAGACCCATTCGGTGCGCCATATTTGCTGCCTGCATACATGGAAACCAAACTCGTCAGGAACCATTTTTGATGGGTAACAAAGAACTGCGTACTGTCCATGTTTACGAGAAAACGGCGCTGAACCAGGCCGCTGACAGTATCAGAGATTCGTTCCTTGTCCATGACCTCGAGCACCTTGAGCTCCATACCCTTGGCGGTGACAAGAACTACATGTTTTTTGTTCTTTTCGCTTTGGAGCTGAATTTGCGGAGCTATCAATCGAACATGGTAGCTGCTTTGTGGGCTGAATTCCTTCGCAATGCCGCCCTCCAAGTCTTCGATCGAACCACAATTCACGTCACCGTTGACGTCGAAGCTAGTGTCTGTGAAGCGTTTGCCGTCCTCGAGAATACTTTTTATGCGATCCTCGAGGTCCGTAGCGCTATGTTTTTCCGGTACACTAGGACTGGGTGACGACGTACCACCCGTCCTGGTTGAGGGGGCATCGCCTTTGGCAGTCTTGTTGGCCTTTGCCCTGCTCTGCTCTTCAACAATATCCAAGATGAATTTGACGGCGGGCCGTGACAGGTAATAGACGAAACCACGTCGTTGGCTGTTTTGGTGAATGTATCGGAGCACAATATTTCGCAGCAGATTGTTCCATTTCAGCTGCAAATTGTGAATGACGAATCGGTTCTTGAACTTGCTTTCAAATTCCGCGGTGGGTGGCATATCAACAAGATCTTCGGAACTTGATGACGATGGCTCTGACGGTCTTCTATGCCCATTGCTGCTTGCGCCGACTTTGTTTTGCATCTGGTCGAGCATAGTTTTCAGGAATAGTTCCTTGTCTTTGAGAACGCTGACATGCTTCTTTAGTGCGTCGAAATTCTCTACAAGCTCGGGTTCCTCTCCGTTGGTTTGGATCACCCTCAACTCTGCCTCGCCAATGTTTCGGGAGTGTGTCTGCATCTGAATGGCTAGTTGATCCAGTCGTTCTTGGATTAGCTGGCTCTGGACTCGTCTTGGGTCGTCGTCATGTGTCATGATGCAGAAATGTGTGGGCTCATTGCCAAATGGGCTTGTTCGTGTCGGGTCGCCAGCAATAATACCTCCAATGTCCGTTTGTCGGAAATATGTCAGACGAGGGGCAAATGCAAGCGGTAAAATCTTGGTATCAGGATGAGGTTCGGTGGGTAGAATCCAGTCCAATTCTACGAAATCATCCATGTCGATCCAACTAAAGTCGTTATCAGGGATGGTGAATCGAGACAAGTCAGGCTTATCATCCTGCTCAGTGATTAGAGTGGAAACGGAGCCCTTCCTGATGGCCTCTGTAGTGGTGCCTCGTAAGCTTGCTGAAACAGCACGAACATCCGCATTGGTGAGATCAAGTTGGGCTGCGTG